TTTTGTAGCTCTCAGCCACTTTCATGTGTCCCGTTCCCATCACACAACAGGAACTGTGACATTTATGCTAAAGAAGCATCGGAGACACAAAAATCTCGTAGGTTAAACTTCACACATAATTTCATAGAAAACTATACCACCACACCAAAACAATGGAGGCTAAATAAGCCATTTTATTAGTTATTTGTTTGCACGGCCCAAAAAACAGGATGCAGCCATTTATCTATATGACCAAATACATGTTAATAATTCAGTATTAAATCTAGTCAGCAGAACAATCTTTCATTTTCCACAGAATGAAAAACGATGTAACATTATTCTGCTAATAAGCGCTGGCAAGTTAGCTCAGTACCATAGGAGATATTAGACAAAAGTAAATCGTTTTCGATCGAATTTTGCAATGCAGAAATATGGAGATGCAAGCAAAAAGAATTAATGCTTTTAATGTAACTGAGATACAAAAATAATTCCATCCGCTCAATCTTTGCTTCTATACTTCATCTCTCTTTTCCTGCTCTTCTGCATACCTTCCAAGTTAGTGCAGGTGCCAATGGTCAGCCAATCAACAAAGTTCATCACTGTGACCCACCACAGTAGTACGTGGGGAATGAAAAGTACCAACTCCGAAGTAGGCACTAAAAAAAGGTTCCGGAACTGCCTCTGAGGAACTACAATCGGACTGAGTTCCTGTGGTGGGAACACAACAAAAGTTCCTTGTTCCCGAAAAAAGTTCCTGCGTTGGGAAAGCACCTATAATGACAATATGTGCACATTCCTCTATCATGATGAAAATTAGTTCTTTCTGTTTTGACTCTTACTCAGTCCATGACTGCAATTTGGGTATAGTTACTAAATTTCACACAAAATTTCCAATTAGAGAACAGAAAACACAAGTTTTACTAGTTAATTAGCTGATGTTTGTTAAGCACCAATACAGAGCTCTCCACTTTTAACTAATTCCAGTTGGCTTGTGCACTCATACAGACTCCGCCCATCCTTGTCCATGTGACCAGCATCATCGATGGGCTCTACTCACACACAGATATTCCCCGTGAAGCTGATGTGGGGGCAGCGATGGGGCTTGCACATCACGGCAACTACCGCAATCTGCACGAGGAGACAGATGGGGCAGGTTAAGGAGGTGGGCTATCCATCAGCACGGCGAAAGAACGTGGAATGGGGGAGGGGCACGCGCACACGAACCCCACTGGCGGTGCGGATGGGTTTGGCCTTGAGCTTGGGCAGCAGGATGCGGCGGTACTGTGGCGGGACGGCCGCAATAATGTCCACCAGGCGCGGCTGCACAGACAGGCCGTACTTTGCCGACGTCTTCGTCTTCACTCTGGGGAAGGTGGGGACAGAAACACACAACCGCAAGATCAGGAAGAGTCAGCTGTACTGGATTATTACGAAGTATCAGGTCCAGATTCACAGAGGGCCAAGCCTGGTCCAGCTAAAAGCTGATTACACCTGAATAACTCCACAACATCTCCTGTGACCCCCCCAAATCTCACAACTATTGCTGGGCTCAATCTCAGTCAATTGGGCTATCAATCAATAAAAAAAGATGCTATATAATAAATTAAGGTGGGCCTACCGTTTTTACTAAAGTGTCATTCACTTATTTGTAAGATCCCATACAAGTGTAAGATATCAGTTCCAGAGAAAGCTTTCAAGTTACATCTGGAAAAACAAACTTGTTCTTTCCTTCACACCGCCGTGTTTGCAGATACTGACTTGTTGAGGTTGATATCCTTGCCTTCTTCATGAGCCTCCACCAGCTGCTTGATGACATCTGCAATGGTCATCATCATCAGCTCCGCTCGACTGACGTCACCTGATGAGCATAAGACACACGGAGAGAACAAGATGTTTTTTAATGCATCTATTAACAGTAGTAATTATCAAAGTTGCCAGCTCTCAAGCATCTGGCGTGGCACTTTCAGACTCTCACGCTCACGCAATAAATCTTACGGCAAATCTATATCATTCCAATGTAAACCTAAAATTAGCAGCATAAATAGCGTTGGCGTAGTTTGCAAACCCCACAGACTATTTACAAGGTAATAAAACTGTTAAATACATGTAAATGCGTGTGCATGTGTGCGCAGACTTGTCCCAAATTGAACATTTTACGACAGCCAGCTGATCAAAGTTGGCAACCCTGGATTACTGTACCGGGATTATTTCATTTCATTTCAATTTCATTTCAAACACTTTATTTGTCCCCGAGGGGCAATTCAAGGGCACATAGAGCAGTG